ACGGGGAGGAGAAGGGGAAAGGGAAGGCGGCGCGGCCCCGCCGGGGGAGGGCGGCTTGATCCGTGGGGGGTCCGACCCGTCGGGCAGAAGAGAAGGGAGGCCGGAGCTGTGACGGGGGAGGGGGCAACTTTGAAGGTCAGGGAGGGGGCTGGAGGGGAGGGGGAAGAGTGTCTTTCTCACGAGAACTATCTGCACACACCCCCAAGAACAAGAGCGCATAACCTCAGCACTAATAGGAGCGGGGTACAAATTGAACAAATAAATAAATACATATAAATAAATATAAAATCAATCATCCACTCTGCCTCTGGGCTGTGCATTTGAGCCAGCAGAAGGGCAAGCGCCTGCCTTCCGAGTAGGCAGCTCTACAAAATGCAACCGTCTTTCTTTCTGCCCACTTGGAAAGACGGAGAGTTCCTCTCCATCCCCAACACCGGCTACCAAAAACGCAATCTTTAATTTTCGGTTGTTAAATGCCAACAGGGAAGTGTTCCCCGTTAACTTCCTGAGTGATTTAAAATCATTCAGACAAAAGGAGGGATTAAAAAAAAAACACAACCAAATCAAACTTTTAAAAACCGGGAGAGTACCTTGTACTGCCAAAGTGAAGCAGGCACCCCAATTTTTTTAAAAAAAACAAATCAAACTTTTAAAAACCGGGAGAGTACCTTGTACTGCCAAAGTGAAGCAGGCACCCCAATTTTTTTAAAAAAAGGAAGGGGTCTCCAGCCATTGGCTTGGTGATTTCCACCAGTGTCTGCCTTGTTTTAAAAAAAAGAAAGAAAGAAAAGTCTGTAAGTCAAGCCGTCTGTAAGTCAAGGGTCCACTGTAAAATCATTCAGACAAAAGGAGGGATTTTTTTAAAAAAAACAAATCAAACTTTTAAAAACCGGGAGAGTACCTTGTACTGCCAAAGTGAAGCAGGCACCCCAATTTTTTTAAAAAAAGGAAGGGGTCTCCAGCCATTGGCTTGGTGATTTCCACCAGTGTCTGCCTTGTTTTAAAAAAAAGAAAGAAAGAAAAAGAGGAGCAAAACTTGAAAGCCTTCTTATCACTTCATTCCTGTCCTGGAGGGAAGAGAGAGCCCTTTCTGCTGAGCGATTTGTTTGGCCAGATAACGACAGCACTTTTTTGCTCTGAAGAAACAAGAAAGAAAAAAAGAAAGGAACATCCCAAATCTGTGATCCCACCTCTGGCTTCCTCCGCTAAACTAAGAGCTTCTGAGCTTATGCAAAGCATCTTTTCATGGGTCTCCCCCCTCCCCCGCCATTGTTTGTGCTCTGAAACTCTCAGGATTAGAACAAAGGTGCTCTGTTCTCTGCACCTAGCATAGTACGAATCCTTCTTAAGATATGTGCCACATTTCTGGCAGACTAACCGTAGAGATTTGCTCATTAAAACCTTTCTCTGTTCCTCCCCTTCTAGAGCTCTCGCTTTTCAAAGCTGGAGAAAGCCGATATCTTAGAGATGACCGTCCAGTTCCTTCAAGAGCTCCCAGCATCTTCTCCCACCGCCCCAGGTGAGTCTAGGCACTGTGTGCGCGACACAGGGACCCCGTCTGTCCCTTGAGTCTCCGCAGTGCTTGATGGCTACCAGGTGGCTGTGTGAACTAGCTCAACCGGGGTTGTGGGGGACAGGGGTGGATTCGAAAGCTTTGTCTTGGCCCAGTGGCGCAGCTCTTCACAAAGTTCAGGTTGTAGGGATCAGGCCAATCCTGTCTGCCTTGAAGGAGAGGAAAATGTAAGGCTCTCTCTGCCTGAGAAGACATTCCAGTTCACAGGGGGTCTGAAAAAGCAGGCAGGATTGGGACAATGAGTGGACAACTGCAGTCCGTGTTGGCCACACAGGGCTCAGTGAACCAACCAGCTTGGAAGGCTGGTTTATCAAGGCTCCCCTATTGCCTCTCAGGGATCTGCTTTGTATTAAGCCAGGCTGCTGGTCTTGATCCTGCCCTGAGCAAAGTTTAGAATCTGGAGCTTAACTCAACGCCATCCTGGTCCAAGACCTCTGCATCTTTCATTGCATTTTTACAGTTCTTCATGAACTGCAGAACTCAGCCACACGGTAGAATGAATCCCGAAAGCGTTTCTCTCCCACAGCAGGATAGTTGTCTCAGAGCCAAGCCTGGGCTGTTTAACTGGTTAGAGCTGTAGAGGAGATGCCGGAGAGAGCCGGGTTCTAATTTCTCCACGGAGCTCTGCAACTCCCTGGGGGAAATCTGCGCCCCTCGCTCAACCTCTCGGCCTGAATGACTTCACTGGGATATTGTGATGAGCCAAGCCAGGCTCACTGCCACCAAAAAAAAGAAAGAGCAAGAACCGGACTGAGAGCCAAGAACACATGATGAGCTAAAATACCGTCACTGGTCTGGTTTTCAGCCTGATGCATGACCCTGGTGGGTCCGAACGAAAAGGCAAAAGTCAGCTTACTATCAAATCACAATGATCGTGGAGGGTCTGCAGGTTTTTAACATTTGAATAGGAACCCTAAAGAAAAAGTGGAGATGAAATGAGAGGCAAGGGGAAAAAAAAGATATGTAATTTGTTGACTGCCTTATTTACAGACTGAGCAGCTCTCTGCCTACCTTGTTTTTCCTTCTGCAAACGGAAGGCAGAAAGAGTCGGCTCTCCTGTCCTCTGCCTTGCAGACACCCCACCCCAGTGAAGTAGGGCAGGCAGAGAGGTGAACAAGGGTTGCCCAGATTTTGTGACTCTCTGCCAACCTCTCTCTCTCTCTCTTGCAGACTCGGTTGACAGTTACTGCAAAGGCTACCACGCCTGCCTGTCCCGCTTGGCTGCCCTCTTGCCGAAGTACAGCTTCCTGAATCCAGACGCCTGCCGTAGCCTCTTAAGGCACCTCCAGCGGTCTAGGGAGGGATACAGCCCCCCTCAGGACGGTGCCAGCCCCCAGGACTTCTCCCAAGGCCGGCCCTTGATGCCGATGCCCCTGCTCCCGTCCAGAGCGGCCCAGGAGGCCTGTTTTCCCCGTCCACCAGTGGCACAACCTTCAACGCTCTGGAGGCCCTGGCAGAGCCGGCCAGCACCTTGACCCCACTCAGAGCCCTGCATCGGACTTATTTCTCCAAAGCAAGAGACCTCCAGACCATGAGGCAAAGCATAGAGTCTGACCCTTTAAGGGGGATGCTCGTGTGAGAATTCCCCCACAAAAAAACCCACAAATGAGGTTGTCTGTTGTCTCTCTGCATGATCGCCTGCTCTGATCTCTAAGCTTCCTCAACTGAGGGTAGGTAATTGCGGTCTTTGCATTTTATTGGGGAGGCGTGATTCCTACTGCTCCTGACACAGTCCATCACCTGCCTCCAGGTGAGGCAATGTGTTGTGTCTCTGTATGTCAGCTTTTTTTTAAAAAAAGGGAAGATCTGCAGAATAACTTAAACAATCTCCAGGAACTGCTGGGGGAAAGTGTTTTACCTGAAAACCCTGGAGAACCGCGGCTGCTAGACAAAGTTGGGAAGACCGAACTGGACGATGGACTGAAGGTCTGACCCAATATTGTGGGGCCACCTCTTTCTAACCAGGGAAGCACCTCTGTAGAAACTCAGGGGACAAACGATACTGTGTGTAGGTCATTAATCCCTGTTTACAAGCTCTAATGAAACCACGTTGTGTGCATATATGTGGGAGAGACAGAAGAACAGCACATTGCCAATTGAATTCAGAGTTAATAATCAGGGGGGCAGTGGAAATGGTTAATTAGTTTGGATCTTGGCAGTATCATGAATTTCGGGGATGTTTCAGTTTCCCCGTCATTTAGGGCCCCAAATCTCCCTCACCCTGCACTCCGTCAGAGTTTGAACACACAATGGAGGCCAGTACGTAAATGCTACGGGTTGTCTAAATGTCTTCCTTATCCAGTTTGTGACTTGCACGAATCCGCCAGGGCTTTTGCTGAAGGCCGGACAGCACTTTAATCCTGTATATATTTCTAGATTTGCAATAAAAGAAGTGGAAAAAAAAATCAAGAGTGTGGAGTTTGCTTTCCCAGATTTTCAGACACAGATTCCTCATTGTGGAATACATTCCATATCAATGCTTCCTAAAATTTTGGGGCATTATGTACACTTAATAATTTTTAAGAAACCTTCATGCCACCCCACCTCTCCTTCCACCAAAGCAATTTAGAATAAACAAAGAAGACTACTTCAGAATGGTTTTGAGTTAATTTCATGCCATGACACTTGAAAACAGTCATTTATCCTGATACAGCTTATAGCACTTGTAGTATAACTATTTACTCCGACCATAAAAAGCTCATAATTTTGCCCTTGGAATTTCTATATTCTATGCTAGTTCAAGAAACTGTTTTTTTTTTTAATGCTCTATTTAATAACATGATGCTTACTTGGAAGATATACTTCCATTAGGAATTCCCCAGCACTGTCAGCTAGAATATCTAAAAAGTCTAACACTATGGCCTAAACTCCGATAGAAATAAAGTGACAAAATAATGAATTGTCCCTAACAGTTGCCATCTGCATCCAGATAAAGCTGATTTCATGTGTGCATGCATGCATTTTTGTCGTGAATATTTATCAACCACTGGGACCCAAATATTTTTAAAAACACACCTGCATTAAAACATGTAAGCAGCATGCAAAAATTAAAATACAGTGTCTGTGAAATAAATGGACATCTGGACTGCTCTGAGGACCCTTCTGGATCATCTCAAAGGCCCAGGGGGTTTCCAGGGGAGACAGAAATCTTCAATGGGAGCAGCTCCCAGGACTGGACTGATGCTGGGAGACAAGAAGGGCACCTCTCTGCTCTTAGAGCTGAACCCTAACCCCATCCTGTCCTCATCCCTCTCCATGCTGGAGACCGGTGTAGGGCAATGAGAAGTGGCAGAGTTCTTCTGTGCATGTACAGAGTGCTCTTCCCTCGCCACTAGCATTTCAAGCATTATCAGTTCTCACATAGCATTGGAGGAAGGAAGGAAGGAAGGAAGGAAGGAAGGAAGGAAGGAAGGAAGGA